GAATGGTACCTGTTTAGACAATAGCCTGTTAGTCCCAGATATGAAAAAGCTCTTGGTACTTTTCTTCCTCTCATGGAATTTTTCATACTCATTGCCTGTAGCACAATGTTAATATTCTTCTGAAGCAACCCTAAGGAAGCTTATGGAGAGTCAAGAAGCTTCCAGTTGAAATACAAAATACACCAGGATGCTTCACGAGTCTACCAGAGTGATTAGAAAAGTTTTTCACAGTGTAAGTCTGTGGTAAAAGCAGCTACATTTGCATTTAGGCAATTTAATCTAAGTGCAAGTCTGCGATAAATTACAGCGCAGTGATACAATCTATTTTTCTGGCCTTAATCCAATAACAATAAAATTCTACGAGTAACCTCAATACTTTGCGTTACTCTATTGAGTTCAACATAATTGACCTCCTGAACCTTTAAGACATCTACTACATACTGTGCCCTATCTCTTTAAAGATGAAGCAGGCTTTTGATGCCTATAATGACCTCACACAGTGGGAGCCACCACAGCCCTGGTACATCATTCTGAGTAGCAGTAGATGAATATGCAAACATTTTGATGTTCCAAACAGGTAAACACCTACAAATGTAATGAAGTATATCTCTTAAAATTCCACAACCTCTTCCCTTAAATTGCAGCCCTCACTGGCCTCACCAGAGTCAGGTGAAAGAGCAGTAGTTGGCACGTTCCTGCACACAGAAATATTACAGAGGAGTATTCACATCTTTTGTATGAAAAAAAAAAAAAGTCTCACTCTAGGAAATTTACTGTCATCAACAAGATTTTCCAGAGGAAGACAGCGAAATCCTTTCTTACCCCTCAAAGAGGATATTCCTGGGCATTTCATGTATACAGCCAGAAATTTTGGATTCTGATTAATTCAAATACATACATCTCTCTTTTTCTCTCTCAAGAAACAGCCTTTATAGCTCTCTCAAAAAAAGCCCTTTGTACTTACTTTTTCATATCAGCAGAGGACTTCCCAAGCTACAGCAATCCCACCTTGGACACTGAAGCCACCACTTCAATAGCGATAGCAAACCAGCATCCTAGGCTTGGAGTATAATGTTGCACCTTTTTAGGTATTATCCACCACAACGACCCATAGTACAGCATGATTTGAAATTGGTAGGAATATGGAACTGGAGTTTATCAACTACATGACAAACTCTAGGACGCCACTGAAAGAGACAGCAGCTGAGACAGAGACATAGAGAGTTTCTGAGACAGAAACTCCCCAAACTGCAAACAAAAGCAAAAAGCAAATCAAACTGTCAGATATATGATGATGCAGCACAAGGGTTGAAGTTTCAGTACAGCTTATTTAGGCCAAAGTGATTCACCTATTTATAAAGAACAGAAAATAAAACTTGATTGAAATAATATTTTCTATTTCCAATGGTAAAGCTCATCCTTGCTGAAGGCTAATTTCAAATTATTCCTTCTTTACTAAAATGACAAGTCTTTTAAAAACAAGATGTTCTTGGGAGACATGCAGTACATAAGGAGAGCAGATGCAATTAGAAGCTCAACTAAAGTGTCACCACATGAACTCCGCAGTATGAGGAAAATATGACAAGGTTATCTAAAGAAACTTTACGACGTTGCTTTGCTGACAACAGTGCATGTAGGTTTCAAGGCAAGGTGAAATAATGTTCAAGAAAATTTCTAACTTCAGTTAGCACTCTAAAAAAATGATTTCCCAATAACTTGTCTACATGATTTAAGACGTAATCTGTATTAACTGCTGCTTTACACTGCAACAACCGCCCTTCTGTTTTGCAGGTCTAACACAATGGTGAAATGAAAGTCTGGTTCTGAAGAGAACACTTTTCAGCTAAATTTGGAGAACATTTAAAGTAGCAAGGAATCATAGAGGGAAGAGAGAAAAATAAATGGAGTAAAACAACTTCTGAAACAGTAGAAAATATTTTTACATTTAATGAAGAAATCTATAATTGATGCACTTGTAATAGTAGCAATTTTGTAGCAACACAGAACAGATACAACAGCATTTTTCATGTTCAGGAGATGCATTAATTTGATGTGCAAATCAAGAATGGAACTTTCTCTAGGATAGAAATATATCAGAATAGATGTCTGAATTGCAGATGCTAAAGAAGAAAGGAGGAGTTTGCAACACATTTACTCTTATCAGCTGAAGCCTGTCTGTGGAACAGGGAAAGCCTACTTTTACTGATGCTCTGCTAATAAGATTTCAGCCACAGTGCTTCATGTACAGCCCAGCTTTCTCATCACTAACTGAAAGACAGAGAACCTTTGAGAGGAGCAATGAAAAGCAGCAACATAAAAAGAAACTCCTTGGATTCTTTAAGGTCTGCATTTCTCATCCTTTGCCCCGCTGCCTTGTTAAGTTCTCAGCCTTCTGTAACCATGAACAAGCTTCCTGCTTGATTGGATTGGTAGGTGCATCAGAAATCCATTTGCTATTGTGGATATACATGAAGGGAATATAGATTTTTATCATTGCCCACAATGTTATTTTGCCTCTCAAAGCAAAGATTCCTCCTACAGTATAGAACAGGAGTGGATTTGGGGGCCTAACGTTTAGCATTCTCCAGTGAGTCATCTTCTAATATTTACAAATATCTCTCCTTTCATGACAACATTAGGCTGGAGATGTTGGGCTTTTTTTTTCTTTTTTCTTTCAGCAGCATAACAGATGTGGAAATGGGGGATGGGACACAGAAGGCCATAAGAAAAAATTTGATGCTGCAGCTGATCATTCACAGAAGTTCTAGTGAATCAGAAATAGACTGGGGGACAGCATCTCTCAAAGAAACTGAGGAACAGGGTGGATATATCCCAGTGTGGAATCTGCCACTTCTCCCCCTGCCCCCGCTGCCCAGCACAGTCATAGCAAGAGCAGCACTAATGAGCCTTTGTGTTGGATGCACATGTGGAAGCTTTGGGGGTTGACAGTGGTTCTCCCTAAAGGGCTTAAAGAAGTATGAATGATCTCTACAACCTCTATTATCAGGTAATTCTTAAGTGTAATAAAGTGGTGACCTAGTTAAACCACATTCCTGTTCCTGGTGTCTCTTTTTTTGTGGTGTCTGAGATAACAGGGAGATTATTTTGGCATCAATTTAATCTAGTTAAATAGCTTTACTGAAGATCTTTATCACTATAAATAATGGAGGTATTTGAAGTATTTTGTTACAGTTCTAACTGAAGTTATCCAAAACAATGCCTCTCTAGCAATCCTCTTCTGCTGTTCCTGCACTCTGTCTGAAGAAAGTTATGAATGTTTTGAACACTTTTCAGCAATAGCTTAAAGGTACAAAACCAAACAAAACCAAGAACTACCACAAAAAAACCCCCAGTTTTCCCAAGTCTCCGATAAGCATTTAAAAAATATCGGTGGCAGGTATCATGGAACATGGCAAAATGGTGTATTCAATCACTCTTCAGTAACGAAAGATAAAGGTGAAAAGAGATCTAAAAGAGAAAATAACTGCCTTCTCTTTTCCAAAGCAAACCAAAACAAAAATCCCTAAAATTATTTGGAACGTGACATCATCTGCTCCGATGCAGCACAGCAAGATGAAGTACTAAAAAGCATAAAGCATGTCTGTATTTAGCATATAAAATTTGGATGAAATGTCTCCTGGCCAGCTGACTGACCTGAGACACAAGTGCATCATGGCTGGAGCACAGGTACTTGGCTGGAATGTCTGTAATGAAGTCAGCATCACAAGTGCATGATAAGTTCATGCTCAGGGGCTGTTTCCTATTTTTATAGACCTGTGGGGAAAAAGCTGTAAATTATTAGATGCATGAGATCAGAGCTATTGGGAATTTAGCACAGCAGCAAGGGTTTTCCTCAACTTGCTGTTATTGAGCATGTGGAGTTCTACGGTATGTGATGCATGATTCAGAATAAAGAATCATAACACTGACTATGCTACATGTCCTAAACATCATTAATATGGCATGCTCATTTGTAAAGTGGCACACTGCCTGACAGCAGAGTGGTTACTTTGACAGGCTATGGAGACCAGAAGGATTTGGCAGATGGTATTCTCCTCCTCGTCAAGCAACAATCATAGAATTCAGTAATGTCACACGAAGGAAAGTATCAGATACAACACCCCCAGGTATGGTCTGAAAATATCTTTTTCATTTTTTTTCACCTATTCTGAAAAAGGAAAGGTGTTTAACAACATACACAACACACAGCGCAGGTCTTTAGTACCTAGGTTACCTGAACATCCTTTGTCCTCTTGCCTACAATAACTCTTCTGGCTATGACTATTAGCTTCTAAAAATCAGGGGGAGTAGCCATTGCACAGTATGCAGAGTTTTAAACGTATTAATCAGACAGAGAAGAGACACGTGTACTGTTTCTGGTACATGTGTACTGTGTCTAGCATGGTTATTTTCCGCAATAATAAAGCAGAATGTAAATTAAATTTGCTTGTGATAAAATCTATTTCTAAAGTTTGTAACTCCATGGTTTTTTTACTAAAACCTCAAATGACTTACAGTGTCAAAGACAGGGTGATTTTACTCGTTTGACAGTTTATTTTAAGGATAATCACAATTTCCAGGTAACCTCTCAGAAAGCCTGAAACCTTCTGAAAACAGTTATTTTACAACAGATAAGCAAATAACTGAACAGAATAAAGTTAGAAAGAGTCAATGGAACAGGTAGATCTTGCTTTATGGCAAGGAGCATCTGCTCTCCTCTGTCTCACATAATGAAGAAGTTTGGAAGCTATTGAGGAGGGAAAACAAAGTGTATTGGCTGCATATAGTATGAGCCAAGCAAACATGCAGCTAAATACTTAACATCCACAGAGAAGCAATACAAAACCACTTACACTGAACACCACCTACCTTTCATAACTGCTGTCACATGTCAGACCTGGCTTGAAGGCTTTCAATACAAGGTTAGAATCAAATAGAATAAATGAAAATAACACCAATTTTCTGTTGCCATGAAAGTATGAAAATGTATGTCTCCCCACCTGCTGTTTTAACTGATGTACTAATCTGTCTTTCTCTCGTTTAAGAGCCATTACTTCCTCCTGAGTCTTCTTTTTCTTTGAAGCAGACAGTTCAAGCAAGGCAATGTTTGCATCTTTTTCACTAATTGCAGCAAGCAAAGCTTCCTGTCTGATAAAATAAAATAGAAGTTGTTATATTCTCACAGAACATGTACTACTATATCAGACTACATGAGATGTTTCTTTTAACCACTGGGAGAACAATCAATTACCTTCTGAACACTCTTTAGATAGTAAACATTGTCAAGTCTAGTCAAATCATGAAATAAACTGATCAGCCAAAAAGTTCTCTTCATAGGTTTTTTCATTATTTAACTATTTCATAAAACATTTACCTCATGTCCATTTTACTACAGTAAGATATCTAACAATATTTCTGTGAAATATCTTGCTTTTAAAAATATTTGGTATTTATTTTTTTAAATTCACATTCCCAAATTCTAGAATATCTTATATAAATCTGTCGTGAATTATTCAAATCAGATTGAATAATAAAAAGCAAAGTTATACAGATAAAATGTATTTTTATATTATCCTGTTAATATGGTACCCTAGAGACATCAGTACAGAAATCTCTGCACATCTTTCTCATGTTTACTCAAATGTTTTCCTGCGGATGTATTACTATTCATTGTGCCACCACAAAACTGTAATTCTAGAAGTAAAATGTAACATCTAGAAAAGAAGTTCCTTGATCTAATTGTTCATGAGGAATATTTTCCTTTGGAACCTTGACCCCTCAATCTCCATAAAGCAAACAGAAACTTAAAGCACTAAGAAACATATAGGATTACATAGAAGCCAGCCGGGTCATATCATAACCCGTTCATACTGGAACAGGTTGCCCAGAGAGGTAGTGGAGGCCCCATCCCTGGAAACATTCAAGGCCAGGTTGGATGGGGCTCTGAGCAATCTGATCTAGTTAGCAGTGTCCCTGCTCACTGCAGGGGGGTTGGACTAGATGACCACTAGTGGTCCCTTCCAACCCTAAACATTCTATGATTCTATGATTCTATAAAGAGTTTGTGAGGAAATATGACAAAGGTAATTTTTACAACATGCAACTGGAAACACAGATCTTGCAGTATCTTATTATTTCTTATACTCTAAAATGCTCATGTTGGCAAGGCCATAATCTGTCCCTTATTTTCCTAAATAAAAGAAATACATTCATCTTCTGCAAGACATTCAATGACTATGACTTATCAGCCAAGAAAAAGCGTATAATACTTAATAGCTTTTAGAACAGAATGTGTTATGGCCTATGCCTTTCCCCAGAACTATACAAGATCAATCATTAAAAAATAAACATTGATAAATGAGCCATAAATTAACCTTAGGCTCCAACTGCTAATAAATGTAAGAATACAGCTCATGAACTTCATACAGTCAAGGTGAGCTACAAGTTTGGAATTCTCACAGTCCTTCAGCTTGCCAGCAAAAATGTCAAGAAAGCTAATTCACTTGTATTTCAAAGTTCATAATGTATTAATGTAAATATTTAAAGAACAATATTTCTGATGGAGTCAAAGAAAAACAACTCATTTATTTTACTCTCAAAGTTATGAGACGTGGATCAATTTTAGATAAACAGTTGCATTTTATTCATACACTTAAACAGTCTCATTTATTATTCTGTCTTCTTCATTCTACTCACAGTTAAATGATGTTTTAAAGAGGATGCCATAAGTCTCCCACAGTCTAAATTTAAATGAAAGCTATTAACTACTTTAAATAACAGGTATTAAAGAAAAGATATGTCAAAGGGTCAGATATCCATAATGCTAATCTGAAATGAGATATAGGTATATTGTTTTCTATAAACCTCATAAAAATGCATAAAACTTGCTGCATGGTAATTTCTGAAAGACTGTTGGCATTTGCATGTATTGTGCTCAAATACAATATCAATTCCTTAACATTTTAATTAAAATCTTATCTTTTTCCTACCGTATTCAACAATTACTCTCACCTTGCAGAAAGCAGAGAATTTACACACAAGTCTATATATGCCCTCTTTTGAGCATCTGGCTCAAACAGAAAGAAAAATGTAACACAATTTCAGCTTTTTCTCCGCAGTAGCTTTGACATGTAAGTCTGTACTTTTCTGTTTTAGAAATGTGTCCTAACCCTAGAAGGTGGGGTTTTGTCAGGGGTGATAATACAAGCTTTCTGACAGAAAATGTCAGCAACAGGTACTCTATGACTTTAAAGCCAAAGAAACAGCACATTGCATTATTACGTAAAATACTCTTCTTCTAAATGAAGTAAGATTAGGTTAGTTCTTCTACAGTTATCTGATAGCAGGCTGTAGTAAAATTACAAAGAAAGGTTAGTCAGGAGTTTTGACAGTGTTCCAGTCGTTTGCATCAAGGAACATTTTCCAATTTTTAACTCGCATCAAGCAACAATTTTGTTGCTGTTTTGAACATTATTTTTAAAAGAAGGTTTCACATGTTCCTCTGGTTTTCAGGTTATGTAGGACAAAGATTTGCCCTGTCTGCAATCAACACCAGTGGGATTAAATCCTAATCTTTAATTCATGGTAATCATTGCTGTAAAGTAGGTACCTCTGGTAAACAGCAAAATATAAATCTGTTTATACCATAATTATCATTCTTATTTAATACCTGAAGATAAGCATTGACATAACCATCACAAACCCAACACACTCAGAATGAAGATAGGTAAAGAAAGCTACATCTCAGAAACTCCAAGGTTGTTAAATATATTTAGATTAGTTCTTAAATTATGTAAATTAACTCCATCCCAGCCAGACCCAATATACTAATAGCAAATTTCATGGTAAATACTTGCCATCTACGAGGTTTCTAATGACATATAATGTTATTTAATTATATATAACACCTATTACAGCTGTAAAAAGCCACAAACAGAATAAAGGTTTTAAATTGTCTTGAAAACCACATGAAGCTATACGAAAATTTTACTCCTCCAAAGTTTAGATCATTTCACTACCTCAAAATTGGCAGCGAAAACACAAATCTCACTAGTGAGGAAGAAGAGTCAGAACCACTGAATTATTTGGTATCATTTCAACATCTGATAATGGGATTCACCTGCATCCATCTTTTCTGTATTGCCAGCCAAAATGGCTGTGGTCATAACTGTTCAACTGCGCAACACCCTCTAGCCTCACTTTAAAGTAGTGAGTGAGGTAAAACCTTCCACAGGAGAGGAGAGCCAGTCACCACACTTTGAAAAATCTGCAGTGTGGATTCTGCAGCCCCAAACCCATGCAACTTTGCAGCCCCTAGCATGCTTTTTCTCAGCTGATGGTGTTGAGGGATTCTGAAAGCCAACCAGGAATGTTTTTCCAAGGGAAGCTAATAGAATTTTTTTTCTCTATTGTCTTGTGGCTCGCAAGACAGTTCCATTCAGTACACTACTTCTCCTTACTGTCTTGGGAAAATATGTAACCAAACACTTAATTCCAGGAAATAATAATTCATACTAAATACTTCCAGGAAATAAAGGCTCATAGTCATGTGAAATAGCTGCTGTCATGTGACTCCATAAGTGCTCCACTGAGAAGCTCTAAGATTTGAATCAAACCCACAGCACATACACAGGTTTGAACTGGCCCCCCAAAATTATTGTCAATATATTTTTTAGTTCTTTACAGTAAATGTAAGTGGAGTTGGGAGGCCTTAAACCTATGAATGTTGAGAGATGACTGCATGAGAATATGAGGATGGGGATTTCTACAGTAATGTGGAATGATGAATACATCTACACAGATGGGCGGCTGAATGCAAACTCACCCTGGCAGTACTCCTGAAGCTGCCTGAATGTGAGTCAGCTTCAGTTCAGAAGCTGTAAAGCCTCATTTATCTAAGAGACAAGGTGTTTTAGCTTGGGCATAGTGCCACACAACATGCTGATGGCTTCCAGACTGGAACCAGCTCACATACAGCCTGCTCCGAGTGTGGGCAGAGCAAGCCTGCATCTGTCTGCACCTGTCTGCACAGACATACTCCTGGAGTATGTCGGCATATTATCAGCATCTACTATCATGGATAATCTGAACAGTAATAACCTCAAATATATAATCCAGTGGCATTTAACCAAGCATCCGGGTTAACAAGAGTTCAGCAGAGCAGGACTGTATATTCTACCAACTGATACATGGTGGTTGCTTACATCCTTAGTAATTAACTATTTCAATACAGAGGGAAGACAGAGACACCCAACAGTTTTTAATATTATTTTACAGAGTACATAACAAAGATGCAGGTCATGGCAAGGCGTCTAAAGAAACCAAAGCGGCCTCCTTTACTTCTGCATGGCCTAGCATACTAGCAGAGTTACAGTTCCTCCAGTAAGTCCCTGGAAGATAGAGGTTGAAAAATACCTTGCCCATGCTGGCGAGGCATCATAAGTGAAGAGATCCAAGCATTTATGAAGCAGCCTGTGGGGACAGACCCAGAGCTCTACATTATCATATCTCATGTATTACATATCACACGCAGCTTTACCCACATCTGTGAAAGTTGCTGTGCTACCCTGCCAAAATACTTCAGGTTTCCCATGCAAGAACCAAATCTAATAAACAGAAGCAATTTATTTTAGCTAAAAAATTAATATCACCATTTTTGCAGGATTTGGAATTAGATTATCTGACCACTAGGAACAAGGCTAAGATGCCAGCAAAACAACTTCAATGATGACTTTCTCACTTACAAACATGAAGTAAATGTCATTCAGAAATGTAAACAGGTGGCAAGGGCTTCACCTAAATCTCTCAGGTAAGTAATACACTTCTGGCTTTGCTGCTAGAAACTTAAAACTTATCTTGCATTTCTGTGCAAAAGGTTTTGAAAATCAAGACATGAACTGGCACCAAGAGCAACATACAGCCTGATATACTCTCCAGCTAACACACTGAAGAGTGTAAACGTAATTTATAATTCCTAATTATCTACTGCATCAGGAAAGAAGACAACTATCCAAATACAGCTCTCTAGAGATGTTATCACTATTTGCAGCCAAAATGTCTCCTTATTGTTTAGTAAATGATGGTAATAAAATACATTTTTAAATAATTTATTAGAGCACAAATTAAATTACATTCTTTAACAGTAATAT